CCTAAATAACAAAAGCCTAATATGCAAATTGTCCCCTTGAGAGTTTGACCACTCGCTGTGACGTGTGCTGACCACCAGGGGGTGGCGTGAAACAAAGGAAGGCCCTGGCTGGCAGCCAGCAGCTGGCAACCGGCAGCCGGAAAGAAGGCCCTGGACAGCAGCCAGAAGACTCCAATCGGCCCTGATCTCCGGCCAGGCCTAGGGACCCTACCTGTGCACGAATTTCCTGCACCAGGCCTCTAGTATTAAATAATAGTACAAGAATAAACTCTTGTTTTATGTACTCACAACTGTAAACCTACTTTTGCTCCACCCTGTATATAGGTTAGAAACTTGGCAGGATAAAAGGAGAAAACATTTTTAACATTTTTGGATTAATCTGAGAATGTTTCATGGGAAGAAGTAAGAGGTGATGTAGTGGCCTGAAACAGGGAGTATGTTTACTTGAGTTAAAATGAGGTAAATTGTAAAGAGTTTTAGGTTTTGGAATCTGGCAGATCTATAAATATTACTGAGCCTCTTTTTCCTCATCCTGAAAAGAGAGTTAACGTACCTCAAAAAGTATTGGGAAGAGCATAGTAGTTGCTTACTCAGTCTTTTTTCATTGACCTCTTTTAATGTCTTGAGGATTATTTGTGAGGAACAAAAACCCATTTGAATTAACTTACTTAAAAAAAAGGTGTTTGTCAGACCGTTAGATGACTGCCCCTAAAGTCTATTGTATGAAGTCTACTTCAGCTCAGTGTCCTAGGAACCAAAATATCTTCAGAGGGTTAGTCTTCTAGTTTTTTCCTGGGAATTCATGGTCTTATTCTCTGCTGCTCTGTTTTCTGCTACTAGTACTCTGTTATGTCTCAGTTTTGTTTTTTTTTTTTTTTCAGATTGTCCCTCTCTTTAAAGCTCCTGGTTTCTGCTTCCCCATAACTTTGGTTTGCATGAAACGTTGATTTGTCATGGTGCCAACACCAGACTCACTTTGATATTGAAGTATGATTCTCAACAAATACCTCTGTATCTGAATTCTGAATTTCTAAAGAGAGAATCTGATTGGTTAGGTACCCACTTCCAGTTCAGTGGGCTGTGGTTGGGGGAAGATGAAAATGGGAAAATGGATGGAGAGGAGACTTAGGTGTGTCTCACAGTTTGTACTTTTTTAGACTGAGTACCGAAAGTTCTCTAAGAAAGGGGTGTGGACAGGGAGGAAAGGAAGGGTACCTCTGATGTATTTAACATCCTGCAGTTTTGAGTTTTTCCCCTAGAACTTTATTGAACTTGTTTTAAGCAATGTTTTCTTTCAGGACAGATTTTCCTAGATATATGATTTAGGGCAAATTATGTAACTGTTATGTGCTTCATTTTCCTTATATGTAAAACCGGTATGATAACAGCAACTTCTGTTGTGAGAAATCTGAATTCTGTTTAATAGCATTTAAGCAGTGCCTGGCTGGCACAGTATAAGGATGTATATATTACTGAGTACATTCTGGCAGGTACTATGATATGGGCTTCTACAGCATTCAGAGATGAAAGAATATAATTTCTGCCCTGGCCTGTGTGGCTCAGTTGGTTGAGTGTTAGTCTTGTGCATCAAAAAGTTCACCAGTTCTAGTCCAGATCAGAGCACATCCTCAGGTTGTGTGTTTGATCCCTGGTTGGGACATATGTGGAAAAAACCGATTGATGTTCTCTCTCAGATCGATGTTTCTCTCTCTTCCTCTCCCTCTCTCTTTAAAATCAATAAAGCATATTAAAAAAAATATAATTTCCACTCTCAGGAGTTTAAAAGTCTAGTGATGACCACTTCATATTTAAAACTATTTCTTGAAGTTAATCACAGTAAATTTGTCTAAATCCAAATCTACCTCACCTGCTTTTCAGACTGCTACCTTTTTGGGGTTCTTTGTTTACCTCCCCAGGAACACTTTATTATGGTTGTCCCTTTGGATTCTCTCTTGATCCTGTTTTTTTCCCAGTCTCTAGGAGTCCATCCATTGCCTGATATATTCAAGGTTTTTCCACTTTGGTTGGTGAGAACGCAAAGTATTCCAAGTCCTGGCTGGATCCAGGTATTGTTTGGCCTATTGCTCTTTGGTAGTTATTTTCCCAACCTCAGATACTCTGCACAGATCAATATTGAGCCAGGGACTCTAGGGGAACTCATCTGCACATTTCTAAAGCTCTTACTCTTCCTGAGCTCTCTCTCCAGTACTCTGCCCTACAAATTCTAGACAGTTTGGCCTTCCCAAACTCTGATCTTTGTCTCTGCAGCTTAGGTGAGACTGCCAGACAGTTTGGCTTTCCTTTCCCTATGTTGTGACAAGGATGTAGCCGGATCATAGTCGTGCTTTGCCTATTGTGTAATGTTTGAAAACCAATGTTTTACATATTTTGTCTTGTATTGTTATAGTCATATTGAACAGAATATTAATTTTTAACACTTGGCCATTTGTTTGGGATTTGTCAGAATGTATGTTTGGAGCACGTATTGTAAATATTTCTCAAATATTATAAAATTAGAAATTATTGTAGTCTTATTTTCTCAAATAATTCATTAAATGTACCCATTTAAACATTTAAAGGCACATTTTGCACTTTAAAAAGAATTACTTTTTATTTATTAATTGAGCAGATGTTTGAATCTTACTGTGTTAGAATGCAAATACAATAAAACACTTTTATCTCCAAGGAACTCACAATAGGAGGGAAGCATGCAAACATTTGCACCAGAGAAATAAAGTACAAACCACTTTGGCAGCATAAAGGAGGTGGCTACTGTTTGGGCAAGGAGATGAGCCAAACCTTCCTAGGGAGGCCCTTGAACATTCATGAAGAGTCAGTAGCATTTCAGCTGATGCAAGAAACAGTAGATTTGATGAAAGTTTAGGAGGAGGATGGGTCAGGACTTGGTGATTTACTAGATGTGGCAGTCTGTAGCAATTGAGGGGAAGGTCAGTTTCTCGCTTGGCTTACTGGCTTAATTGGTTTACTGACTCTTCCTGATACAAAGAATGCAGGAGGTGACTGTTTAGAGAGAAAAGTTTCATTCAGTTTTCAAACATACTAATTTTGGGGTAATTGAGACATTTACTCAGAAGTACCTAACAGAAAACTGAACATAAGGAACTGAAACTAAAGTTCACAAAGTGTACTGAAGATATAAAGGGTGTCCCAAAATTCATGCAAGAAGTAATTTTGAGCCGAAACCGGTTTGGCTCAGTGGATGGAGCGTCGGCCTGCGGACTGAAGGGTCCCAGGTTCGATTCCGGTCAAGGGCATGTACCTGGGTTGCGGGCACATCCCCAGTGGGAGATGTGCAGGAGGCAGCTGATCGATGTTTCTCTCTCATCGATGTTTCT